TTCTAGAAGCTCATGTCTGCTGTAGTACAGCAATGCAGTGCAGATCTGGAAAAAAGTCCAGTGAGGAGTAGGTAGAAAACATCTAAATAGCAGATTCTGGAAAGACGCTGAGCCTCACGTTGTTCACACACCGCCATCTTGGGCTTTTTGTCAATAAAAAGAACTTCAGAAAACTTTTCAAACATTGTGTGTGTTATTACTCTGGCAGGAAATGAGGGAAATGTGGTTATTACATTAAAAATAATGAATTTTCAAATACTATAATGCTCAAAATAATAATTATTGCTGATTCATTAATGTCAGAAATCAGATTCTTTATTAGGTAGTAATAAAAAAAGTTCTGTTATACAAAGATAATTTAATGGCTTTAAACCAACAAGATTCTAAAATTAACCTAAAAGTTCATAACTGGAAACGAAATGTCTGTTTTAAAAGGAAATTAAGTTTAATCTGAGCTCCAAGTTACCCTTAACGAGATTATTATCAGTTTATTAAAAGGTAAATCACCAAATTAAACATTTAATTTTTACAAATAACCAAAAGAGTGAAGTTTGTCTTTCAGTCAAGGGTTCTTATATGAAGCTGTTCTTAACCCTGCAGGTTTTATTTGATGCACCTTTAGCGCCCCCTGGAGGCAGCAGGTCAAACAGTCACCAGCTGCCTGTGAGCTGAGCTGCAGAAACTAGAAAAAAAGTCTCCACCAGGGCGGCGATGTGCTGCAGGGGTTTGACCTGGAATTGGTTTTTACTTCAAGTTTGAATCTCACTGTTCAAAGACAAATATGGTGGGATATGAAACTGATTGTAAGAGCAGGTCTAACTGTTATAGATCTATCCTGGGGGAAGTTCTAGTTTTTGACCCAAAGCAGATTATTCAACATTCCTCTCCTTATCCTGAATATAAATGACAAAATGAAAAGAATTGATAAAAGAAAGTGCACCCTCTGATTGTTTATTTGGTGTACCAATCCGATGTTTATCAGATTTCAGATCCACAGAGCAAATCAAGAAATAAAAAGAAAAGATGAAACGTTAGAAAAGGACCCAACAAAGCAATGAATGAATGAATGAAGCGCCAGCTTGGTAGGGATATTTGCACAGTAAGTAAATGTAATTGTTTTTGTTGATATCATATGTTTGATAGTTTTAATCAGGGACTTTAAAATCATGACAAACTCTTAAAGATGCTCATCCAGGAATCCAGAATATATTCAGAGAGGGACTCTGATGGAGTTCTGGAGTGGCCTAGTCAAAGTATGAACCACAGATTCTACAGTTTAGCCTTTGGAAAAATGCTGTGAAACCACTATATTGCAGCAGGAATAAAATAAAGATTCATCTGGTTTCCACAAAAGGAAAGGAAACAAAAAAGGAAAGAAAATGGAAGAAAGGAAAGGAGAGGAAAGGAAAGAAAGGGGAAGAACGGAAAGGAGAGGAAAGGGAAGGAAAGGAGAGGAAAGGGAAGGAAAGGAGAGGAAAAAAGGAAAGGGAAGGAAAGGGAAGGAAAGGAGAGGAAAGGAGAGGAAAAAGGAAAGGAAAGAGAAGGAAAGGAGAGGAAAAATGAAAGAAAAGGGGAGAAAGGAAAGGAAATGAAATGAAAGGAAAGGGAAGGTCTTCCTGCTCCCTCTGTAGGTCCCTTCCTAGGGCTCCTCTGCAGGTTTTCCCCATAAACTTCTCATCTTTCAGACAGTCAGAGTCTCACGTTGCCCTCCTTCTCCTCCTCCTCTTCCTCCTCCTCTTCCTCCTCCTCCTCAGACGGGATGTGATGTAAAAACAGAAACTTTTTTCTGTCTCCGGAGCTGAGCGGATCTTTCTCGGTCTGAGTTTTTGGTTCTGAAGGAGCCGAAAATCAGGATTATTTTAGGAAACTGCGGATTTAACGGACCTTTAAACCGCGCTGCAGGAGAGAAGCCGAACCGAACCAGAGGGGGGAAGCTGTAAAGCTGCTGTTGGACCCGGACAGGAACCAGTGGAAATAGGTAAGAACTTCCTGAGATCAGATTTCTGAAAGTTTTCCCTGACAGCTGACCAGAGATCCGCTTCATTGTTCCTCTCCCAGCCTGAGGAGGAGCTCTGAGAAACTGGGAAATGATCAGAGATCAGGAGGAAAACAAGCTGATCAAACAGCTGCTGCAAAGTTCTGCAGGATCCAGAATAAAAAAAAAATAAAATCTGATCAAATCTCAGCTTTTCCTCCACTTTAATAAACTGGATCCATTCATTTCATCCCTTCCTTCATCTAAACGGTGTTTTTATTTCAGATTTCCTGCTCTGATCCGGTTTCACTCTCTTTAGGTTTTAGGAATCTGGAAACAAATCGCTGCAAATGTTTCAGTTTTTCCATCCTGAGCTTCTTCTTTATCATAAGGAGCATCAAAGGTGACGTCACATCACAGCTGCAGGGATAGACAAAGAACAGGAATTATTAGTGGTGCTGGACTCAGCTGCAGGTTCTGGTTCCTCTCTGAGCTGCAGATGATAATAAGGACCACTTGAGGTAAAGATCTTAGATGCTGCAAAGCAACATAGAAACAGACAGAATAGAGCTCCAAACATGAAGCTGCCTGAAGGATGGGGCAGGTCTAGATCCGCAGGTCTAGAGGTGCCAGTGGTGAGCCCTGACCCGGTTTAATGAGGGGTGGTTCTGAATCCGGTCATGTTGGGTCCACTATGGTCTGGGTTCTAAACCGGGGAGGTTTTGGTGTCAGTTGGATGTTCTGGATGTTCTGTATCAATATCTGCTGTTCAGAACCGACTGTGTGTTACGGGTCGGGTTAACCTGCTGGTTCTGTGATCCTCTGATGGTTTCACATATCAGGATCCAGTGGCGGATTTAGGAAATGTGGGGCCCTAGGCAAAGACAGGCAGGGGGCCCTCTGAATTGAGAAGGCAACACATAAACAGAGCCATTCTCCAGATAGATAAATGTTAATAGAACAGACATCCATTATCTGTTCTAGGTTGTGTCCCTCTCTTCTTGTCCCTTTTCTTCTTGTTTTCCTCTCTATGTTTTGTACTCAGCTGACTTTTCATGCTGTCTCTAAAGGAATGAAAGATTTTTTCCAAGCACTAAGCTCACTTAGCTGATTGCTCCTTCCTGTGTTTCCAAAAAGGCCAAAGTAAATAACCCAGTCCTTCTTTTCACTGTAGACAAGCCATGATCTGCTTATCTGTTCTCCATTTTTCATTTGGATGAAATAATAGCTGCATGAATCATGACAGCAGACAAGATAGAGGAGAGCAGGAGGCGGGGTTACCAATCTACTCGCTCTGGAGAGCAGAGTTCGCTGCTTTTAGATGTTGTCTCCAAAGTCTCCAGTAGCAGAAAAAAGTCTCTAGATTTGGCGCTAGGAGCTTTTTAGAAATCAAAGTGCTAGAGGGGTCTGAAAAGTGGCTAAATATAGCGACTAAAGCGCTAAGTTGGCAACACTGCTCTTTGCATGGTTTGTTTTCAAATGGTTTGCTGCTGTCTGTTTGGACCTTTCTGAACATGTGCAGCAAATGGACTGATCCAATATGGTGGACACTGAAGGGGGGGGGGCTGAAACACACTTGATATTATCAGCGTTCTGATGGCATTTTAGCCAAAGGATTTTTATCAAAAACATCATTAATGCACACAAATAAGGAATAGTTGTATGAACCATACATGGAAGCAGAGTTTTATGGGCCAGTTCCTGGGGGCCCTAGACAACTGCCTAGTATTGCCTAATGGTAAATCCCCCCTGACATGATCATAAGCAGGTCCTCCTGCTACTGCAGAACCAACAAGCGGCATTAAACAGATCTAGAATGGCCAGAAAAGTTTAATTCTGTAGAGAAAAGCCTCCAATTCAGATCTGATTTAAAGATCTGAAAAGAACAGAAGCTGTAGATCTAACTCAAAGGTTTTCTTTCATTAAATGATGAAATCATAGGAAATAGGAAATTCATAGTTTGGTCTGTTTGACCCGTTTCTGCTTATGGACCAATAACAAAGCAGGATTTTAATGAGACTGAGCCAGAAATAGACCTATACTACAGGTGTGGAAAAAAAATCAGCAATTTAGTTACTTCCTAGTATCCATTTTTTTTCCTAAGCAAAACATTTTGATCTAAAACTGAGGGAAAATGGGCTTCTTCTGCACCGCCAGTCTGGCAGACGGCGCTGTGGAACCCTTTAGCTGTGCGGCGCCGCGCCATATCTGTAGTTGAGTCCGTCACAGTGGAAAACGTGAACCGACTCGAACCCCAAACAACATGGATACCAAAATAATCTGATGAACATATACAGCGTTTGCTTTTCTATCTATACATTTAATCTTGATAGCAGGAAAAATATTGCAATAAACGGTGATATTGCAATGTAGTGATAACATCGTATTGTAACATTCATGCCAATACTCACCCCTAAAAGAAAAATCATGTCAAACGATATTATCGTATTTCTTTTTCTCGCATTTTTAATGTCGGCTGATACCTGCTTGCTGCTCGCTTCATCACTTTTCAGCAGCCGTGCCTCAAGGTCAGGTGAGGCGCATTCATCGCTGCTGCCTCCATTTGTTCATTATTGGTCTGCTTTGTTAATAAATATTTATTTGTTTGTTTAACGTAACTTTTATCATTTTTTCATGTTCTTATGTAAATGGAGGAAGAGAAAGAAATATCAGCTGTAAGAATTGGTCCAAAAATAGCAGCAGGAGATATTGAGGATTAGTAAATAATAAAAATAATCGGTGAACTCTGCAATATCTGAATCTGAACCCGTTTGTTCCTGTCTGCTAGTTCTTCCTCTGCAGGATCTCAGTGTTGGTGCTCTGACCTCTGACTCTTCAGTCCGGAGGATTCTGGATCATGTTTGGGGTTATTTTCAGGCCTAGAGACATGCCTCCCCGTCCTCATGTTGGGGGGTGGGGGGGGGGGGGGGGGGGGGGGGGAATTTCAGGTTCTCATAGAAGCTTTTTGCTCTTTGCCTTAGTTTGTCCCTCAGTCGGCCTCTGCTGATCAGACATCATTCAAACTGGTCAGTCTGAGAAATCTACAACCGGATCAGATAGAAAAACAGACCCAGAGCTGCAGGCTTATCTAAATAGTGATTAATTCTCGGTTATAAATCCCAGTACCTGCTGATTTGGATCAGATCATCTGAGGTCCCGTCCAGCCTCAGGCGGGCATGAACAGATCCGGTGTCCACGGCTGCAGCTTTTCAAACAGAGAGGCGGTTCTGCCTCGAAACCCAGAAGAAGACTCACCTCTGTGTCCCTGGCTCCGCCTGGATCCCTGCAGGTACAGTTAAACAGCTTTGTGTTTGGTATGAAAACATGATTTATTGTCTCTGGATGAAGCGCGGAAAAGTTCTGAGGTGTTTCACAACAACCCAACGGTGCGGCGTTGGACCGCTGACTGAAGAAAGAAGGTTCCCACGGTGCCGCCCAGCTCAGAGCCTCGGATCAGGTCCAGGTAGGATGACATTCGATTGATCCTAAATCCAAATCCAGGAGTTTCCAGCTGCTGCTGGGAGGTTAACCATTCAGCGCCGATTCATTGGTTCTGCTTCTACTCTTATCCACCAGACAGTCATCAGGTATTGGGCTTTGTTCTGGCTCTACTGAGAGGAAATGTTCCCTTTCTTCACACTGTCACCAGCAATCTGAGCTTTTATTTTGAAAGTCCTGGTGAGGGAGATGCTTCTACCATTCCTCTCCATCCACTTTCATTGATCACTTGTCCTCAGGGGACTCCACCTACTCTAGGACATCGTGCAAGGACGATCCAACACTGCATGTCCTCCATTTGTGATCAAAGCGGTTCTGATTCTCTTCCAGTCAAAGAGGCCTAAATCTCTCTTCTGTTCTCTCCAATGTTATGACTGAGGCAGAAATTGGCACGTTTTCGTTGCTGTGGCAACCTCTAGTTAGAGATTTGGTGTTAATGAACGTTTATGAGGCCATGAAAGCTTGGATACGAGCTGAATTCTTCTGGTATTGTGTGTTCACAAAGACACGAGAATCCATCTTGCTTCGATTTAACCATTTGAGACCGACCTAAAACAGGTCTGCCAATAACGTTGATGTTTTTTGGTTGAGGCGGGACATACAGCTGTGACAAAAGCAGTTGAGCCAATAATTAACATGGCGGCAGAGGAGGAGGCACATGTAGCTGCTGCTAACACATCGATTTGCCTTTGATAGAATAGCAGCAAGAGGATGAAGTGGATGTAATTGTGGTTTCTCATGGCATCCGCTGCCACTTCATTTATTTCTGTGATTGGCTAAAGCCAAAGTTTGGTGGGCGGGCTTTAGGTGTTGCTTTCCCCAATCAGCTCAGAAGGTTCCGTCCCATCCTTCCTATGAACATGATCAATATGGCTGCTGCGTTGGAGGCCTCTAGCGAGGTCCATGGGCCCACAGCATCATAGAGTGAAGGAACCCCTGATGTTTCGGTTTGTAATGGTAGGACAGGAAACCCACTTTCTCAAGGATCAGGCCTTTAAGGCGGCGTGTGGATAGAGTCAACTGGTGACCCAAACATCTGTCTAACGTAAGAGACATGTCCTCCTGTCCTCCCCATTTGGCCTCTTTTTCTTTCAAACTATCGTTTTTTGAAGAAAGAAGATGATTGGTTGGTTTGATCAACTGCTGCTGTTGTCACAGTAACACCATCCACCTTTCCTTTGTTCAGACTCTGACACCCTCTACAAATAAACCTCCTAAAGTCTGAAATTGAACACAGTTTCCGAAGACAACCTGGGAACCAGCAGGTTTTTTCCTGTCTCCAGACTTTGGAGTATTTTTTCTTTTGCATCAAACATCGCGACTCGTAGGTCAACTTTATTCTCATGAATGTTAAGCCGATCGTAAACTGTACGATATTTTCAATCGTTGCACGCAGCTACGGTTCAAAATGTACGACGAATCCGCAGGGTTTAAAACTTCACAGATCACGATGTATGTTGTGATGCGATCTACCTGCTCACACTGTACATCCTAAAACCACACATCTGAGTCAGCGTCGAGAGATGGCGCTGGTCGGACTGGTAAATCTGGAAGAAGAAGAAGAAAAAGAACTCCTTTGTTTGCACATGCGCAGTGCGCTAGGTTCTGGTAAGCAGCAGGATGTGTCCATGACTACCTTATGATGAAGGACTGAATTTCAAACATGTTTGATTTTCTTCCGACCCCTGTTTCCTGGTCGGTTGGTGGTTGCGAGCAGCTGATCGCCCCTTGTTACCCTCAGTATACTACACGACGCAGGACGCTCGATGCGGCGGAATCTCGGCCCAATCGAAAAAATTCTTGCACGACTGGGGAATCAGCCCGAAAAGGGCAAAAAAATCATTCTGACCAGCTTTAGTTTGGTCAGAACATTTGCTGTATAATGACTGTAAAAGTCAGGGGTCGGTGTAGCAGAGTTAATTTTATTAATTTATTTTATTTTTCTTGATGAACCTTCTCAAGACTCATTTTATTTGAATTGACATGTCTGTCATATTATTTATAAAATAATATGTTCATTTAATAAAATAATATATAGTTTTATATATTATTTCTGTTTTATCTTGCTTTCATTTTTGTCCCTAGTTTGTAAAAAAGTCATCCTCATCTATGAATATTTGTTTTCCTTTGTTTTTAATTGTATTTTATTTTGGTGGGGAAGCTTTTATTTTCTTACTTCCTGATTTTGCGTTATATGCTGTGTGTTCCCGCTGCCCTCCTCAGTTCGCGCCTAGCTGCGCTGGGGAGAGGGTGTTTGTGGAGAATCCAGAACCCAGGAGCTGCTGTGTTTAAAATTTTCTTGTTTTGAACAGGAATAAAGTTATCCTGAATCCTGATCTCGAGGTGGATCTGACTTCCTTTTTCCAACCGTTACATCTGGTGCCGTGACCCGGATGCTTAGATCAGCCGCTGCCGATCACCGAGGTTCTGCCGTGTGCTTGGAACGTCGAATGTTCAAGTTAGTGGACTAGTGGGTTCTGTCAGGTTCCATGTTGGTTGCTATTCTGCAACTGTACATAATTGTTTCTGAGCAGAAAGAAAAAGAAGTATCTACTGTCTCCTGTATATTTACTTTTTGTTAAGGGACGTTTTTATAGTAAGATTGTTTTCTGTGTTTTGTTTTATATACTATGGCAGAGGGAAATAAACAAACATATTTATTTTCATCCCCTGCTGGAAGAGGGAGGGGTTTACTTAGCCTAGAGAAAACCTTTGTTAATGACACTCCAGGAGCTACCTCTAAAATGCAGTTTGCATCGGATGATGGTAGAGACAGACATGAACCATTGTATTCGACACCCATTGATTCCAGTGAGCACACCACTACACATCAGTTACGTGAACTTATTGGAGAATTAGGAAGTCAAATTGGTGAATCCATAGCGAGCCGGCTCCTAGCCTGCCAGCCAGCTCTTAGCTCACAGGCTCCTCCCAATAAATCATCTAGAGCTGAATCATTCTCAGCAACTGCTGACACTTCCAAAATAAGTCTGATAGTCAGACCTGATATTAAGGATCCACCCATGTTTCGTGGTGATGGCACAGACAAGTACTCCATTCATGAGTGGATAGACACAGCTGAAGTGTACTTACAGAAACGAGACCTCCCACCTTGTGAACAAGCAGAGGAAGTTTTAAATCATCTCTGTGGCAAAGCTAAAAGTATTGTCAAAGTGGGCCTGAAGAGTAGCTCAACCGGCAACACTCCAGTAGCACCAGAGACGATATATAATATTCTGAGGCGCTACTTCAGTGATACTCCTGGCTCGTGTCTACCTTTGGCCGATTTCTACGCCACCCAGCCGAAAGCTAAGGAACCGCCTGTTGACTATTGGATCAGATTAAACACTGCTGCAGAAGTGGCAGACAGGCATCTAAAGTCCCAGGGGGTAAAATGGACAACATGGACTCAGAAATTGCCATGATGTTTGTCAGAAACTGCCCAGACCCCAACCTTGCTAGTGTCTTTAAATGCAAGCCCACAAGTAAATGGTCCCTAGCTGATGTGCAGGAAGCTATTGATGAGCATCAGAGGGAGTACCAAGCTAAAAAACCAACCGCAACCCTGCCCAATACACATGCTCTTCGTGTCGCTGCTGCTGCAATGGCCAGTGAACCCCTAGAAAATAACGCAGAGTACACCAATGTAAACACAGCCAAGCTCTCTGACCCTGTTAAACCAAGTACAGCTGTTGTTTCAGAGTCAAATGCGTTGGAGAGAGTACTTAGCATGCTAGAAAGAGTACTAGAGCGTACAAGCCAGCCTAGTCCTTCTGTTGTCCGACCAGAGACTGTTCCATTCAACCATGGTTCCCCCTGCAGGGTCTGCAAACAGACCTCACATTCCACACGTACACATTGTATGAGGGAGAAAAGATGTCTGGAATGTTTAGAGATTGGGCATCAAAGAAAGGACTGTCCCAAGGGATCTTCAAATCGACCAGGCAATACTTCACAACATCAGGGAAACTAAAACACTCACATGAGGGAGGGGATAGTTTGAGTGGGAGTGACAAAACCCTCAAACTTGAAGATGATGTACAGACCGTATATTCTGAGTGTGTAAAATCCTTCCCGTCTAACACCACTGTTCTATTCCAGAATATAAATAGGCTTGACAAAGTTGACAGTCTGTTCTATACAGATGCTGTGGTGGAGGATGAAGTGTCATTGAAAGCCCTGCTTGACACTGGTTCAATGACATGTACTATCAGTGAGGGAGCTGAACAGATGTTAATTTGTTCAGATTCAGTCTCCATGTCAAGAGATGTTTGCTCTGACATTACGCTTGTTGGCTGTGGTGGGATGAAAGTTAAGCCAAAATGCATTTATGACCTAAAGATGAAAGTGTATGGCTGCACCTTCAGGGTCCCTGCACTGGTTGTTCCTGGGCAGCAAGATGAAATTATTCTAGGAACAAATGTTATCAAATACCTCCTTAAGCAGTTTAAACAATCTAAACAGTTCTGGCAGGTTCTGAGTAAGCCTGATTCAGAAGAAGCACCTGAAGTAATGCAATTCCTCAGCATGCTGTCCGGCATTAACAGATGGAATGGAGAAACTATCCCTGATATTATTGGGACAGCCAAGTTAATGCAGGCTGTTACTCTTCTGCCCAGGCAGGAACATTTAGTCTGGAGCAAGTTGCCGGCAGCCTCATCCTGTTCTGAAGGCAGTGCAGTCTTGATAGAACCAGCCAAAGCAATGACCCATAAGAATGACATAATGGTTTGTAGATCCATTGCCACTATGAACGGTGAGAGATTGGTTCCAGTCAGAGTCCTAAATACTTCAAGTCAGCCAGTAACCCTGAGACGCAATACAAAGGTGGCACAGGTGTCGGTTTGCATTGCTGTGGAGGATCTGGATGAAACCTCTGAGCTGACTGAAGCTAACTCAATTGAGGTAAAAAACCAGGCAATGCACAGTGAACTGACTGATGACGCAAAAGACTTTCACTCATCGGACTATCAAGAGTCCTTAGTCAAACTTGGACTTGAGAGTTTGGACATTAAATCCTGTGAGGTGTCAGACTATTGGAAGGGCCAGCTGTTACAACTCGTCCGAAAGTATGAGGCTGTATTCTCAAAAACCAAGCTTGACTGCGGATCAGCAAAGGATGTTGTTCACAGGATCCATCTGTCTGACTCCCGACCCTTCAGGCTCCCATACCGCCGTGTGCCCCCGGGGCATTACCATAAACTCAGACAGGTGCTCTCAGAGATGGAAGAACTCGAGATAATCAGCAAGTCGAAGAGTGAATGGGCATCACCGCTGGTCCTTGTGTGGAAAAAGAATGGGGACCTTAGGATCTGTGTAGATTATCGATGGTTAAATGCTCGCACAATAAAGGACGCCCATCCTTTGCCACATCAAGCAGACTGTCTCGCAGCCTTGGGTGGCAACACTATATTCAGTGCTATGGATCTCACCTCCGGCTTCTACAATATTGCTGTGGCAGAAGAGGACAGGAAGTTGACGGCTTTCACAACACCCATGGGGCTTTATGAGTTCAACCGTCTTCCCCAGGGATTGTGCAATAGCCCAGCCAGCTTTATGCGATTAATGATGAGTATATTTGGAGATCAAAATTTCCTGACTCTTCTTTGCTACTTGGATGATGTGCTAGTCTATGTATCCAATGAGGCTGAGGCCCTGAGAAGGTTGGAAATGGTCTTCAGCAGACTGAGAGACCATGGGCTAAAGTTAGCCCCTAAAAAATGTCAGTTTCTTAGAAGGAGCGTAAAGTTCCTCGGACACATTGTGGACAGTAATGGTGTCTCGACCGATCCAGACAAGGTTAGGGCTATAACATCAATGACGGTTGCGGACCTTATGATGGAGGACGGGGTGACACCCTCTCAAAGGAAAGTCAAATCATTCTTGGGCATGGTAATGTACTATCAGCAGTTCATTCAGGATTGTTCCAAGCTAGCCAAACCCCTGTTTGCTCTTACAGCTGCCCCGAAAGGGAGGAAAGGCAACCCACGTGGTGTCGCTTCATTCAAAAAACTGCATGCAAGTGACTGGAAGCAGGAACAGGAAAACTCATTCGAGCTGCTGAAGTCTGCACTTTCGAAATCTGTTGTCCTTGCACATCCTGATTTTAACAAACCGTTCATCCTCTCAACTGATGCCTCCACTGATGGACTCGGGGCTGTATTATCCCAGGTTCAAGAAGGGGAGAGCAAAGCCCGACCAGTCGCTTTTGCTAGTAAAGCACTGACCCGTGCTCAGAGCAAATACCCTGCCCATCGATTAGAGTTTCTTGCACTCAAATGGTCGGTTTGCGATAAGTTCAGTCATTGGCTCAAAGGACACACATTCACCGTTTGGACGGATAACAACCCTTTAACGTATATCCTCACTAAACCTAAACTGGACGCATGTGAGCAAAGATGGGTGGCAAAGTTGTCCCCTTACAGCTTCAGCATCAAATACATACCTGGAAGTAAAAATGTGGTTGCTGACGCTTTGAGCAGACAACCATTCATCAAGAACAAAGTCTCCCAAAGGCTGGTGACTGAGTCCTATGAAGCTTTATTGGAGGAATCACAACAAGTAAGGCGAGATGCAGTCCAGGAGGTCTTTCGGGTCGGTACCGACCTTTAAGGGGATGAATACCTCCAGTCTCTTCAACGCCCAGAACATCAGTCGCTGAGTGAAGAAGAGGTATCTGCAGTTCTGCTGGGACATGCAAAGTGGGACCTCAGTCACGAGCAGAGGGTGTTGACTTGGCTGGCTCAAGACGTAGAGGGGCTAGTGCCGACTGGTTCGGTGCCTCTACCTATGCTCTCCCTTCAGGCCCTCCAGGAGGCACAACAAAATGACCCAGTATTATCGCAGGTCATCCCGTTCGTCATGCGAGGCAGGCGGCCATCCAGGAGAGAAAAATCTGGCTTGCTGCCCAGAGCTTTGAAGCTCTTGAAACAGTGGGAGAAACTAAAGATGCTGGACAACATTCTATATAGAGTGTGTAAAGATCTAAGTACTGGCAAGAAAAGATACCAGTTTGTAACTCCCTCGTCTCTGATAGACCAAGCACTTCATGGCGTTCACAATGAGGCTGGACATCAAGGCCAACACCGGACATTGCACCTGACCAGGCAACGATTCTTTTGGCTCGGTATGGAGCACAGTGTTCGTGAATATGTCAAATGCTGCAAACGTTGTGTTGTGAGCAAAACTCCTGAACCCGAGGGTCGAGCCCCCCTAGAGAGCATAAAAACTACAAGCCCTCTGGAGTTAGTGTGCCTCGACTTCTGGTCTGCAGAAGATGCAAGGGGTCGAACTGTTGATGTGTTGGTGGTAACCGACCATTTTACTAAGATGGCCCATGCTTTTCAGTGCCCAGACCAAACCGCCAAACAAGTGGCTCGCAAGCTATGGGACAGATACTTTTGTATTTATGGTTTCCCTCAAAGAATCCATTCGGATCAGGGGGCAAATTTCGAGAGTCAGTTGATCCAAGAATTGCTGCAAGTGGCAGGGGTAAAGAAGTCGAGAACCACCCCGTATCATCCGATGGGCAACGGCCAGACCGAGAGGTTTAACAGAACCCTTGGTAATATGATCAGAGCCTTGCCACCCCGCGACAAGTGCATGTGGCCACAGATGTTGCAGACATTGACTTTTGCTTACAATTGTACTGTCCATGAGTCAACTGGTTATGCGCCTTTCTATTTGATGTTTGGTCGGATTCCTCGCCTCCCAGTCGATGTCATGTTTCACAATGTGGAAAGGGATAATGAAGTCACGGATTACCACAGCTACACAAGAAGAGTCAGAGAGGACCTTAAAGAGGCTTTAGCTGCTGCTCAGGCTAATGCCTACTCCAGCCAGCAACATCAGGCCCAGTTGTACAACCTAAAAACAAGGGGCACGGACATAGTTGACGGGGATCAAGTACTCTTGGCTAATAAAGGGGAACGTGGCCGTAGGAAGCTTGCAGACAAGTGGTCCTCTAACATCTACATTGTTGTGTCTCATGATCCCAGATGCCATACTTACCGCATCAAAGACGCAGCAACTGGACAAGAGAAAGTAGTCCATCGCAACTTACTTCTGGCAGCAAACTTCCTGCCACTGGAGTTGGACAAAGAGCAAGAGTCAGTGTTTTCCTCTGACATCACCCCAGATCCAAGTACTGTTAACGGTGGTGACCAGGATGTCTCACTTGTGTATTCAGAGAGTAATGGATTGGACCGCACTGCTGATTGGGTGGCAAATACCACCTCAAACCCTGAAGACCTCCAGGATGCTGAAAGTTGTGTCAGGAATCTTCAATCAGGAGCAAGCGATGCTGAGAGTCTTGGAGAGATCGGAAGCGACTCGGCTAAATGTCCAGACTCGCCGCATAACCAGCCAGGAACTGACGAAGAAGCAGTTGTTATAAGTCCTGGTAGGCCAACAACTCCAACAACTGGTGCTGTAAGCCTTGTCAGATCCAGGGCTGGCAGGATAATCAAACCAGTTAACAGACTGATACAACACATGGCACAAAGGAACACACAGACACGTAATGCAGTCCATGGATTTACAAGGAGTTTATTTTTGTAGGAGTAGACAACTTTTGTTTGTGAATAGAGTATGGTAGTATTACACCTCTGTAAATAAGTCAACGCCCATTAGCTAAACTGTATGGGAGAGTAACAGCCACTAACTGTGAGATTGTGTTTACGGCACAATCTTTTAGCAAGCAGGCATTGTTGAGTCTGGCCAACTTTCCAATGTTGCTTTTCCTTTCCTAGAGGAAGACCTTGAATGTCGCTCAAGTGTGTGTGGTCGTTGTCTGTCAGATGGCAAGAATGTTATTCTGTGTCCAGTCTTGATTAATGTTGGGACGGTTTTGAGAAGTTCAGGGGGGAGTATGTAGCAGAGTTAATTTTATTAATTTATTTTATTTTTCTTGATGAACCTTCTCAAAACTAATTTTATTTGAATTGACATGTCTGTCATATTATTTATAAAATAATATGTTCATTTAATAAAATAATATATAGTTTTATATATTATTTCTGTTTTATCTTGCTTTCATTTTTGTCCCTAGTTTGTAAAAAAGTCATCCTCATCTATGAATATTTGTTTTCCTTTGTTTTTAATTGTATTTTATTTTGGTGGGGAAGCTTTTATTTTCTTACTTCCTGATTTTGCGTTATATGCTGTGTGTTCCCGCTGCCCTCCTCAGTTCGCGCCTAGCTGCGCTGGGGAGAGGGTGTTTGTGGAGAATCCAGAACCCAGGAGCTGCTGTGTTTAAAATGTTCTTGTTTTGAACAGGAATAAAGTTATCCTGAATCCTGATCTCGAGGTGGATCTGACTTCCTTTTTCCAACCGTTACATCGGCAACCCGCGGTTCCGGAGCCGCATGCGGCTCTTTAGCGTTCCCCTTGCGGCTTCCTGGAGCTTTTTCAAAAATTTCTGAAAATCTAGTTTTTTTTTTCTCTTTTGTTTTAATATGGTGTGCAGGAGGTCAAACGAAAAATAATTATGTTTTCCAATGCTGTAAACATTTGTATAATAAATACATTTAAACAATAATTTGCGTCATAGCCATAGAGATCAGTGGTCATAACTTGCAGCCAGAGCTGCGCAGTACCATGCTGCAGGAGTGTCTCCATGGATCCCAAAGGGGAAAAAAGGAAGATAGCTGATAAGAAAAGAGGATTCAAAGGATGGACCCAATCATTTTCTTTACTTATCAATGCGGAACGATTGCTTGCATTTTTACTTGGTAATGAGAGGTTGGCTAAAAATAAAAATTTGGAAAGGCATTTCCAGGGAAGGCTAAATATGCAGCCGACCACCAAGCTGGGAGGGAGAGAAAAATGGTGATTGCAGAACTTCTGGATAAATTAGAGGAGATCAAATGTAGATTTAAGAAGTGGATTACATCTCCAAACTCCACTACTGCTGCTAGTTTTGTTGCAAGGATGGAAAACCGTCCACAGATCAAAGAGGTAGAGCTCTGATGCAGGGATGGAAACCTTCTTCCATTTTTTCCCCAAATCCTAAAACTATAAATCCCACCAAGGAACGATGGGATGGGGGATTTCAGGGTTAGAGAGCTCTGCTCGGATGGATGTCAGTTCCTGCTTGGTTCCTCATGACTCAATCAACTCCTCCCAACAGAAACACGTCCTCCATAGAAAGATTCTTTTATCGTGTTTCTATATTTTCATCAATGCAACAAACCTTAAACCGCGCGGTGAAGGGCGGTTAAGCGTCGCTCGGTGAAGCAGCGCGTGATGGGAGCGTTCACTGCTCCTCCCTCACCTCATGCTGCTATGTGACATTTGCTCGATGATAAAGATTTAATCGTGAATGCTTATTATATATTTAAGCCCACATAGTCAATTTCTATAGTGAGATAATATATGTACGAGGCATGTATGAGACTTTTACATTTTTGCAGCTCTAGACAGATTTATTTTTTGTTTTTTTTGGTCCAATATGGCTCTTTGAGCAGTTTGGGTTGCCAACCCCTGGCATAAAAGGAGCTTGTTTTAATGGCTGAAGGACGACCTCGGATCGTCTGTGGAAGACAAAGAGTTTGGATTTCTAATAAAAGATCTTTGGATTCCTCCTGCTCTATCTATCAGGTCCAGATCTAACCTAAACTAACCCTGCAGCCATGTGTCTGAAGGAATTTATCCAAAAATGGAGCCGTTAGAGAGATTACACGCTGACCCAAACCTCACATCTTTTATGGGTTATTAATTTGTTGAACTTCAGCCTGACTGTTGAACGCTGAGGAGCAGCTGGAGGATGAGTTCCTGCAGAGAGTCACTGAGGCTGGAGGTGAGGAAACATGGAGGATCTTTGGAGTGAAGAGCAGCGAGTTCCCTCAGATCGCCTTCACGCTTTAAAGCTGTAACTCCAGGTACAAAGAGATTTGGAAAAATACATCTGAAAAGAGCTTATTTTCAACATTTTAAATGATTTGCATTTATTCTGAAACTCAGATGTTATTTCTTATGAATATTTATTTTTTAAAACCATACTTCTGTTGTTTTCCCATTCTTTTACAAATGCTTTCATTTTTGTGGCATCCCCACCCTGGATCCCAGCAGAACCGGGTCGACCCGTCACCAGCTTCCTGTGATGGGAGACAGATGTGGAAGAAGGCGGTTTTATTTAGTCTGATGCAGATGTTCTGCATCTGAATGAGGAGGGAAGATGTCTGCCGGTTTAGATTTCTCTGATGGGGCCGATGGTCCAAAATGATCTTCTAACAGCTTTCTGGGAGAAAATCTCTCCTGCTCTGTGAGTCTCAGAGGTTGTCTTGTCTCCTCTATTCAAACCAACATTTTCTGGGGACTCCTGTATTTGGCTGAAGGTTCTGTCCTTATTCTTCTTGTCCAGTTTGTTCTGCAGAAGCTGTTAAAGTTGAGCCGTCTGCTGTCTAACAGTAAAGTTTAGCATCAGGGTTAAAAACCTCTTTGATGGTTTAAGCTCTGCTTGTTGGACATTGACTGCTTCTGATGGCAAACTGTGACTCATCCTCAACACTGCAGGACTTTTCCTTCCAGCTAATAAACAAACCTTATTCTGCATCAGCTGGTTTTTATGGAGGAGTCGTCGGTTTCTGAAGCGCTGCTGATTGGTCAAATCTACATCTGCTCTACACTATGCATATTTCCTGTTTGCTACCTTACGGGCTTGTTTTGTTTGTATGACCACCATTGCAAAAAACATGTCTTGAAGATGGAGCAGCTAGCAGAGCGAGGTGCGTGAGAACGCTGGGACCCTTTTTCCACCTGGATCCCCGCTTATTTTTGGCCCTCATGTCCCTACATTGTCGCACAAACTTGCTCCCACTTCCTCACCGCCTCGGCCGTATCTAGACCCACAGCTAGTTCCTGATTGGCCCTCTGGCATTGTGGAGTGAAATAACATAGCGCAGACCATGCTTCAAAATTGGGCAGAAACCAAAGATATCTGCATCAAGCTAACTGCAACACACTGCTGCGGGAGGATAACCAGCCCTTAAGCATGCTTGTAGCGACAGTGGAGAGGAAAAACTCCCTTTGAACAGGAAGAAACCTCCAGCAGAACCAGGCTCAGTGTGAGCGGCCATCTGCTGAGGCCCACTGGGGTTCAAGGAGACAGAAGCAGGCATAGAAAAAGAAGCATAGATACAAAAGGCAACTGTCAACCAGCTCCACAGGCGGCCCCGTCCAGGAAACACACAGCCAGGCAGACGAGCTCCGAGCCAGCTCCCATGTCAGAGGATGAAGAGAGCACATCCAGTTAGTCACAGTCAGAGAAACAGGACTACACTGGAAAACAGGCCAAGCTCCAACATCTAGAAACAAGGGTGTTGATGGCAGCAGCACAGCTGATATTTCTCTCCAGGATGGAGTCACAGCCAAACAGGAACAGACCAGATGAAGCTACTATGAGAAAAAGCAGAGAGAGCAGAACGTCAGAGATTGAACTAACAGATTCTGCAGAGTGGGAGAATAGAGATAGAATGAAGCAGAATGATGAAAAAGGGGTCCCTATGTCCTCCAGCAGTCTAAGCCTATAGCAGCATAGCTCAATTGAAGATGTTCTATTTTTCATCTAAAGAGCTTCCTCAGGTGAAGGAGAGGCTAGAGAGTGACCCCGCCCCCCTCTACCCACCCCAGTGTGGATCTGCATACTGGAGCCTTTTGCCACAGATCTGTTGTAAAACAAGGAAGAATGAAGACTGAGGTCCAGTTAAGTCCTGCTGATGTTAGAGAAATGATTTGAAGAATGATGATGAGCAACCGCAGCAGTGGTGGCCTAGTGGTTAGGGCATAGGCCTTGGACTCACAACCCTTAGGTTGTGAGTTCGAAACTCACTTCCACAGACTGCCACTCTGGCTCTCTGAGCAGGCCCCTCAACCCCACACTGCTCCCTGGGCGCCGCACATGGCAGCCCACTGCTCCCCAAGAGGATGGGTTAAATGCAGAGAGAGAATTTTGTTGCGCTGTACTTGTGACAGTGGAATGACGATAGAAATGGCTGGTTAAAATCTGTTTTTACAAAATCACAAGTGCTGCAGAGGAACATTTTACACTTAGAGCCAACGGCCCGTAGTCGGGTCTGCAGTCTGGTCTAGGTGAGGCGGGTCTTTATTTGCTCCAAGCTCATTATTTGGTAACATCTAGCGAGTCAGAGGCATCAAGGTTTAATGTCTCCAATACATAAAGACTCAGCAGACCCTGGAAATCCTTTTTTTTTAAGAGAAAAAGATCTGGATATCAGAACCTTAAGGTTCTGATGACAGTGAGGATTGTAGTACTACAGTAAGTAAAAGTTCTAATCTTAATCCTGGAAGATGCTGACTTCCCTCCACAGTCCAAAAGCTGTGAGTTAAAAACTCATTCTATCAGTTTTCTGTGACTCTGTTCCCATCCTTTGCATCATTTTATCATTAATGGAAGCAGTGCAGACTAGAGGAGTTCACTGCATGTTCAGCTCAGTGCAGCTTTAGGTTTCTTCTGGACTTTCCTCTCTCCTGGTTCTTCTGCCCGGTCCCAGCGGTCTCCACGCTCACGTTCCCAGGTGGCTCTGATTCACCTTGCCGTCGGTTGGAAGCCCTGCATGTTAAATCAGGCGCGCTGCACATTCCCCACATTCCTGCAGCTCTGTTTTTAAACCCTCCGTGGCTCTTCTCCGCTTCAAGGCTCGTCGCCTCCTCTAAAGTTACACGTTCTGCCCGCTGACGTTCTGCTGATGCGGTTTGACTCGGAGAACGCTGCCAAAGCTGAAACCGGACCAGTGACTGGGGAGAAGAACCAGCAGAGGCTGGAGGACAGTGAAACGAAGCAAACATCTGGCTTCTGACAAAGCAGGACGAAGACATGACCTGCTGATCAGGGGGGAGTCTTTCACCGACAGAAACACAGGCGCTGTTTTATTTCTGGATGATCCCACAGAAGAAACAAGGCTCTGCAGGGGAAACATTCTGCAGGATTCATAACAATATGAGGACACCTAGTATAAATATTTAGTGTTTTTGTTTTTAATCCTTGTGTTAAAAAATCTCCCTAAGGGCAGGGCAATATTGACAAGCAAAGTGAAGAAGAATGGTTTCAAAATGAGCAAACATCTGAATTTAGCCTCATTTTAGTGCAGCTTTGATAAGAGAACCTGTTTGTGTCTAACTAAGGAAGTTTTCTTCAGCCGCTTGGCTGTTTCTGTGGATAACAGCTGGAATTCCTTCCCTTCTGACAGCGTGGTGCGTTCAGCACATCTGGAACAAACTCCGTGTTGCATAATCGGCCAGAAACACGGCGGCATGTTAACAAACAGAGCATCAGGAGGAGG